GCTGGTCTCGAACTCCTGACCTTGAGCGATCCACCCACCTTGGCCTCCCAGAGTGCTAGGATTACAGGCGTGAGCCACCGTGCCTGGCCAGAATATCAGTTCTTTACCCTCATGATTGTGTGGTTGAAAGAGAGCTGTGGCTCACTGCTGCTGCCCAGCGTTGCAAGAGAATGTCATATCACATTTTGACAAAGATATGGAAAAGATATTGGAAAAGATCAAAATTCAAAATTCGAAATATGGTTCTATTGAATGTGTATCACTTTCACACCATCGTAAAGTCAAAACATTCTAAGTTGAACCATCATAAGTTGGGATCATCTGTTGTCTCTTCAAATTTTAGTCCTTTGAAATAGGAAACTTGTTTTATATGCCTCAGCATTTTATCTACTTTGGTGAATATTCTGTGTGTACCTAAAAAGAACAAGTATTCTGTACTTGTTGGGTTTAGTCTTCTGTAAATGTCCATTATATCAATAGTGCTTTTCAAATCTTCTATTTCCTTACTGATTTATTGTCAGTTTTGCTTTTTCATTGAGTGAAGCATCATAAATTTTCTTAACCATGATTATGCATTTGTCCATTTCTCTTTGTGCATTTTGTCATTTTCTTCTTGATGTATTTTCTCCTAGTTTGTGGTTTATCATTATCTTACCAGTGTCTTTTCCAGAGCAGAGGTTTGTAATTTTAATGAAACCCAACTTACCAATTTTTTTCTTTCATTGATTGTGCTTTTGGTGTTGTATCTCAAAGTCATTGTAAAACTCAAGGTCACCTGTATTTTCTCCTATATTATCTTCCAGGAATTTTATAGTTTTGTTTTTTACCTTTAGATCTATGATACATTTTGAGTTAATTTTTGTGAAAGGTGTAAGATCTGTGTCCAGATACTTTTTTCTTTTTTTTTGCATGTAGATATTCAGTTGTTCCAGTATCATTTGTTTTAAAGGCTATCTTTTCTTTATTGAATTTCCTTTGCTCCTTTTGTCAGAGATCAGTTGACTCGATTTGTGCAGATATATTTCTAGGCTCTCTCCGCTAATCTTTTTGATTTTTTTTCCAATACCACATTGGCTTGATTACTGTTGCTTCATAATAAATCCTGAAGTCTGGTAGTGTTAGTTTTCTGGTTGTATTGTTCTTTTTCAATATTGTGTTGACTCTTCTGTGTCTTTTGCCTTTCCATATAAATTTTAAAATCAGTTTTTTGATATCTCGAAGTAATTTCTGGAGATTTTTATGGAGATTTCTTTGAATCCATAGCTGAAGTTAGGGAGAACTGACATCTTAACAATATCGAGTCGTCTGAGCCATAATTTGGAATATATCTCCATTTATTTAGATAGTCTTTGATTTCTTTTAGCAGAATTTTGTAGTTTTCTTTATAGAGATGTTGTAAAGATTTTTTAGATTTATACCTAGTATTACTTTTTAGGGGGTCATTTTTTAATATTAACCTTATATCCTACAATCTTGTTATAATCACTTGTTAGTTTCAAGAGTTTCTTTGGGATTTTCTACATAGACAATCATGTCATCTGTAGACAAAGATGGCTTTATTTCTTCCTTCCCAATCTGTATACCTTTTATTTCCTTTTCTTGTCTTCTTACATTAGCTAGGACTTTTAGTATTACTATAGTGTTAAATAGGAGTGGTAAAAGGGGACATCCTTGCCCTTGATCCTTATCGTAGGGACAAAGCATCTAGTTTCTCACCATTATATTAACTATAGCTTTGACACTGTATTTTTATGTAAGCATAGCCACAATTATTTGCAGATGGCATCAGCTAGGCCATTTTTAACCTAAGCTTAATAAAATTAATGTTGATTCTTCAATGCCATCTAATATCCAGTGTTCAGATTTCCTTGATTGCTTCAAAAATGTCTAATAGGGTTTACATATTGCATTTGATTGGTGTCTCTGTAAGGGCTTTTTTTGTTCTGTAAGGGCTCCTTTATTTTTCTAATGTTATTCATTTTTTGAAGGCTTTGCATTTAAAAAAAATTGCAAATGTGTCAGTTCACCCCTTAGAACTTTTGTATCATTTTTTAATAATGACTGTCATTTTCCTCTATATCCAGGATGCTGTGATCACCCATAACAATATTAACAATAACTCTTTTACATCATCTCATACCTGGTCTATATTGAACTGTCCTTTGTAGTCCTCTTTTCTCATTGATTTGTGCAAGACAAGATCTAGTCGAGGCCTATATGTGTCATCTGAAGAATGATTTATCTCTTGTTTATTTTTTGTGGGTTTACGTATTTTTTTTTTTTAATTTCAGACTATTACGGGGATACAAATGTTTAGGTTACATATATTGCCTTTGCCCTGCCTGAGTCAGAGCTACAAGCATGCCCATTCCCCAGACAGTGTGCACCGCACCCATTAGTTTTGAATATCATTAAGGAAAAATCCTCTACTTCTTCCTTATTAAAAATTTCTTCATGAAATTTGCTTGTTCCAGATCTTGGCCAATTGCCGACTGCCCATTCTGAAATTCCAAGTCACATTTGAATCTTGGGAACCTAATCTTGGCTATGTGAGTGGATAGAATGGTGCAGCCAGGGTCACATGGAAGGAAACTCAGGTTATGGACTCCACCTGCTTAATGTCTCCCTCAAAGCCTACATTCTCTGGAGTCTTCTAGGCTCCTCCTAGTTTGGATTTCCTAGATCCTGTTCTTTGGCCTCAGGGCAGATGTGAATGGGGTGCTTTTGTTTTCAATATGGGCCACCATCTCTCAATGTGAATGCTTACCTGAAGGCACTCTCAGGCCTTTTTCTCTTATTGGAGTCCACACATAGTCTCACCACCTGCTGAAAGATGGGGGCTTTATTCCCCAATAAGATCTTGAGTCTGAGCTTGCTGCTGGCCCAGATCTGTGGGCTTTATTTATAGAACACTGGCTAAGAATGGGCTGCATGATGCCTTCTGTAACTTGCCTTCCTTACCTCCCCTTTCCCATACTTGCTACTGAATTGGGAGGCTGGACAGAGTGTGAAGGACATACCTTCCAAATACCTCTCTCACTTCTCATCTCTTTCCCTAGATCTGCTTCTGCAACTTGGCTCCTCTCTAGGAAGAGTACTCAGGAGAGCAGGAATATGGGCCCAGGGCTCCTGACAACCATGAAGGAGGTGAGTCCTGAAATTTCTTCCTGGCTCTTCTAGGAAGAACTCACTGTCTTTTCTTGTCCTGAATGCTGCCTTCTTGGTGTCTGGCAAAGCCTATCTCTGATCTTGGAGGTGTGACCCATCTTACCTGGAGCTTTCTCTCCGACTTCTTTGCTCCAAGTAGTTAACTGTGATCATCACATCCTGGGCAGTTAAAAATATAAGACTTGCATGCTTATGTGTTCAATGATACCCAAGGCCTAAAAAGTATAGGAAGGCTTTTGAGGAATTATCTGAGTTACCCCTGAAGGATTTAGCAAGTTGAAGATTTAGAGGGGAAGACATTGCTGTGAGAATGTCTGAGGAAGTCTAGCCTGTCTCAGAGACCAGGTGACCGGCAGGCCCCTCACCATTTAGGAATCTTGAAGCACACAGTGGTCTTTGACCACATTAGTTTTATCTGTGTGGAGGTGAGTATGCTAACCTGTTGTCTGTGTGTAATGCATGGATAGATTTAGTTTTGCAGGCCCCATGCTTTATATTTAAGTGAGTTTTCCATACTTAAAAATTGGAAGATTACATTTAAAGGTCCATATTGCCTACTTTTCTGAAGATAGATCATTTTACACTGGCTAGGCAACATGTGAACTTGATGTGATTGAATAGAATTAACATTTACTAACAACCTAAACAGCTGCCAGACAAGGTACTTTTGTGCTGATTATATCAATTACACCAAATATTTATTGCAACTTTTGCTAACTCCGTTTTTCTTTGTACTATAAATATGTCAAGTGTAGAATGTTTTTGAGAGACGATCTGGACATAATCATATTCTTGGGCTCATGGATATTTGCATATTCCTGGAATAGTTAAAAATGATTGGATTTGATGTTATCAGAATGTTATTGAGAGTTGTGTGTCTCTCAACTGTCAAATCTGTTATGCTTTGAGAGAAAATGTGCATATAGCATATACAATTCAGGATATTTCCCAAGGTAATAGGGGACTTTTTTCTTCTGTATGTTGCACTTTACCATGAATGTTATTAGACAAACATTCTTGCCAAACATGGAACATTGGCTTATATTTTCTGTCCCTACTCTGCCCCTGCACGTGGGATCTGTAGCTGGCCCTGAACTGTATCCTATCTGTGACCAACATCACTCAATGTTTATATATTTTTTGTTTTAGCTATTTATACATGAAATATTGATGAAAAGATACAAGCATCTAAGAGGCTAGCATTTTAAGATAAAACTTCCATACCTGGAAGAGTGTCTGGCACTCAAAAACTACTCATTGCATAAAGGGGATCACATCTTTAGTTATTTTGAATGAAATAAAGAACAAAGGGGTTTGTTTTATTATATGTTATTTGAGACATAGAAATCATACATTTTACGATTTTTAAAATTGCATCGCCAGGTACTTTGTTATGCATCATATCTGAATTATGGAGAAAAATCTGACCTATATATACAACATGACATTTAGATAACATTTAGGCATTTCTCCTAAGGACTTTTGCTTGAGAGGAGAAATTCTAATATGCGTTACAGTCGTAACGTAGAAGGGGGGCTGGTAGGCACAGGATGTTAGCTAATAAGAAGTTAGTTAGCACCCTTTTGTTGGATCTTAAAATCTTTTTGAATGTCTGTTGTGTGCAGGAGACATTGATGATAGGAACAATGATACCTTCAGCAAAACCCCCATTCTTGTAAGACTTCTAATTTATTTAGGAGTTCACTTGTCATTGGAATATAAAGTTTTTGTTTTTTTTTTATTGTGTTTTTTTTTTTGAGACAGAGTCTCACTGTGTTGCTGGGGCTAGAGTGCAACCTCAAACTCCCGGGCTCAAGCAATCCTTCTGCCTCAGCCTCCCGAGTAGCTGGGACTACAGGCATGCGCCACCATGCCTGGCTAATTTTTTCTATATATTTTTAGTTGTCTGATTAATTTCTTTCTATTTTTAGTAGAGACGGGGACTCGCTCTTGCTCAGGCTGGTTTCGAACTCCTGAGCTCAAACAATCCGCCCACCTCGGCCTCCCAGAGAGCTAGGATTACAGGCGTGAGCCACCGCGCCCGTCCCGGAATATAAAGTTTTTGAAGTTTTTAAATTGAGATGTAATTCACATGCCATAAAATCCACCCTTTTAAAATGTACAATTCAGCGGATTTTAGTGTATTAACAAAATTGTACAACCTTTACCACCATAACATTTTCATCACTCTTAAAAGAAACCCTGTACCCATTAAGAGTTATTCCTCATTCTCTCCTCCCCCAGCCCCTGGCAACCACTGAACTGCTTTGTGTTCTATGGATTTACCTGTTCTAGTTATTTCATATAAACAGAATCATGCCATTGTCAAGAAATCAAACGTGTCATAAAAAATGGCATAGTACAGAAAATCCAGGGCTCTGCCCTCTTCAAAAGCAACTAGTGAGCTGGTAAAAAATGTCAGAATCAACTTTTGTGGAATTCTGGAATCTAGTCAAAACTGGAAGAGAGTACTGAGGCATTTTAAGCTCCCTAGTGACTATTAAATTGCCTGTCTCCAAAGTGTTCATGAGGAAGCCCAGGAATAAAGACTTTAAATCAACTTTCTTAATAAGTACAAGGAGTTAAGGAAACTATAGATGTGGAACTAAAGGAAACCAGGTTAATAATGTTTCAACAAATAGAGAATATCAATAAAGAAAAATTATAAAAGAACAATGTAGAAATTCTAGAGCTTCAAAATACAATAAGTGAAGTGAAAAATTCACTAGAAGAGTTCCATGGCGTATTCGAGTACGCATAATAGTGAACTTGAAAATAGTTCAATTGAGATTATCCATTTTGAGGAGCAGAAAAAGAATAATGAAAAATCAACAGAACCTAAGGGAGACCTGTGGGATACCATCAGGTGTAGTAACATGCACATAACGGGAATTGCAGAGGGAAAACATAAAGAATATTTCAAGAAGTAATATCTAGAAACTCCTCAAATTTGATGAAAGACATAAATGTATACATCCAAGAAGTTCAACAAACTCCAAACAGGATAAACATAAAAAGATTCACACAAAGACGTATTATAGTCAAATATTCAAAACCCAAAGGTGGAATTTTGAAAGCAGCAAATTATCAGTGATGCATTACCTATAAGCAATCCATAATAAGATTAACAGCTGATTTCTCATCAGAAACCATGGAAGCCACCAGTCAGTGAAATAACAGTTAAGATGCTGAAAGAGAAAGCTGTCAACTAAAAATTCTGTAACTGGCAAAACTATCCTTCAAGAAAAAAGGCAAAATTAAGACATTTCTAGATAAACAAAAGCTGAGGAAGTTTATTAACAGATCTGCCCTACAAAAAAATACTTAAGGCTGAAATGAAAGGATGCTAGACAGAGACTCTAAAACATAAGAAAAAAAGAACACTAGTAAAGATAATTTCATAGGTAAAAATTAAAAAGCCAGTATTGTTCTTTTTGATTGGGTTATAACTTTTTCTTTTCCTATATCATTTAAGACAAGCACATGAAAAATTATAAATTTATGTTATAGGCATATCATATATAAAAATGTAATATGTGACAATTACAATGTAAAGGGGAAGGGTTAGAAACATATAGGAGCAGAATGTCTGTATGCTGTTGAAACTAAGTTGGTATTATAGCTAAATGGCAAAAGTAAATCTTTCCTGATCAGTAATTACATTAAACATTAAATGTGAATGCATTAAACTCCTCAAAGCATAGGCATAGATTGGTAGGCAGACTGGATTAAAAATGAAACTAAGAATCATGTGTACACTGCCTACAAGAGACTCACTGTAGATAATAGGAAGCAGAGAAAGTTGAAAGTAAAAGGATGGAAAAATATTTCATGCAAACAATAACCAAATGAACTGAGGGTTATGTCATTGTGAGACAAATAGACTTTAAATCACAAAAAGTTACAATAGATCATGAGGATATCATTGTATGTTGATAAAACATACAAAGAAGATATAGAAAGAAGATATAACTGTTACAAACATACACACCTAACAAGATAGCCTCAAAATATATGAAGTAAAAATTGACATAATTGAAGAGAATAATAGTTCTACAATAATGGTTGGAAACTTTAATACCTCACCTTCAATAATAGTAGAACAACCAGACAAGAAATCAGTAAGGAAATATAAGACTTTAACTACACTATAAACCAGTTGTGCTTAACTGATACACAGACAGTCCCCGACTTAGTGATAGTTTGGCTTGCAGTTTTTCAACTTAATGAGTTTATTGGGATGTAACCCCATTGTAAGTCAAGGAACATTTATATGCAGAACACTCCACCCAACAACAGAGTGCACATTTTACTAAAATGAACATGGAACATTCTCTAAGATGGATCATATGTTAGGCCACAAAATAAGTTTTAATAAATTTGAAATTATTGAAGTCATACAAAGTACTTTTCTGATCATAATGGAAGGAAACCTGAAATGAATAACAAGAGGAAAACTGGAAAATTAGTAAATATGTGGAAATTAAAAAACAAAGTCTTAATGAATGGATCAAAGAGAAAATCAAGGAAAGTAGAATATACCTTGAGATGAATGGAAATAAAATCACAGCATACCAACACTTATAGCCTGCAGCAAAAGCAGTTCTAAGAGGGAAATTTATAGTTGTATTTGCATATATTAAAAATAAGAAAGATTTCAAATCAATAACCTATTTGTAATATTATGGAACTAGAAAAAGAAGAGCAAGCTAAACTGAAGCGAGCAGAAGGAAGGAAATAATAGTAAACTTTAGAGCAAAGATAAATAAGGGAGAATAGATGAACAATAGAAAAAATCAGTGAAACCGAAAGTTGGTTACTTGAAAAGATCAATAAAATTGATAAACCTTTAGCTAGATTGACTAACCAAAAAAGAAGACTCAAACTACTAAACTCAGAAATTACATTGGAGACATTACTGTCAATTTAAAGACATAAAAAGGACTGTAAGGGAATGCTACGAACAAATGTATGCCAAT